TGCAGTTAGAGAAATCTAGAGTTGCCAGTTGCCGCTGGGTGTCATTTTCTTATTTTATGACATAACACATGCCCCTTATTTTGGAACATCATGGCCCCAGACCATAATGGTGATGCTGTAAGTCTATTCCCTATTTTACTTCAGCATAACTCAGCTTTTCCAAGGGAACCCCATCCTATACTTGTTTTCTCAAAAAACAGAAGTGCCAGTGAGTTCAATGGGGCTTACTCCAAAATTAGGTGCACTGTAAGTGCAGTCAGTCTTAGCTGTTTTGGTAATTTGGAATTGGATCCGCATCCTTGCTGAAAAAATGTAAATGATTAACTGAATAATAGAGTGAGAAGAACTGAGAAGAACGACTATTCAAAAATCATTTTTGTTTCAGGATCCCATTCAACCATAAGAGATTTTGACTGTCTACCCGGAACAAATTCAGAGTCATCCGTTGGTACTTTTAGCAGCAGTGCTGCACCTAAACGTATTTCAGACAACAAAATATCATCAGTAGCAAGCAAAAGCTTTCAACCATCGAGTAAAACCACCACCATGGATGGGTTTGTAGCAAGGACCAGCAAATACCAACAAGACACCATAGATGAAAAGATTGCTCGGTTCATTTATGCCACAAATTCTCCTTTTCGCATTGTTAACAATAAACACTTCATTGACATGGTCGAGTCCTTACGACCAGGCTACACTCCACCTGGTAGAGCAGACATTGGTGGAAGGTCGCTAGATACAGTGTATGAGAAGGAACTTGAACAGTGTGCAAGAAATACCAAGGGGAAATTCGCCAGTTTAAGCCTTTATTGGTGGAGCAATGTACACAATGATCCAGTAATATGTGCCTGTGTGACAACAGAAGATGGGGTTGCACATCTTTCAGAAACAATAGATACATCAGGAAATGTCGACACAGCAGAATATTTCAAACAACTGGCAGTGAAACTGTAATAAACTTTGAACAAAAATTCAACTGTCGCATGCAGTTTTGTCACAATGCTGCAAACGTGGCAAAGATGAGAAGATACTTAGAAGAAGAAAGGGAAGGATGCTCCTTAATAACATATGGCTGCAGTGCCCATTTAATGCATCTTTTAGCCAGAGATGCAAGTACTTCTCCAGGAATAAAAGCAAATGCTGAAGTTGCAAAATACTTCCGTAACAACCATTTTGCTTCAGCTTCTCTGAAGAGAGCAGGAGGATCCAAACTAATTCTCCCTCAAGATGTTCGATGAAGTTCTGTGGTTGATTGTTTTGAACAATTTATTAACAACTGGCCTATTCTCATAAAAATTTGTGAAGAAAACTGTGATAAAATAGATGGAAGTATCTCATCCAAAGTAACTAACGTTGGATTAAAGAGGAATGTAGCTGATATGCTCAGTATACTGAAGCCTATATTCATGGCTTTAAACTTCAGAGAGATTGTTGCTGAATTGCTGATGCTGTCAAAATTTGGAAGGCACTTCAAGAGACATTGAAGAAAGAAATACCGAACAAGAAAGTTAAACTGCAGGCAATAAAGAAGCGAATGGATCAAGCACTAACTCCATCTCATTTTCTTGCAAACAAACAGTCTCAACCCCAGATATAAAGGTAGATGCCTAACTTCTGAAGATGATGCTGCCATCTCAAAATCACTCCTCAGTTATGCCAGTCATAATACATTTCAGGGCTGGAGGGGAACCATTTAAACAGTACATGTTTACTGATGATGTTTTGAACAAAGTCACTCCCTAAATTGGTGAAAATCATTAGCCATGCATCTTGAAACAGAGTTCCTTCAATTGCTAAGCCAACTTTTCACAGCAGTAGCTTCCTCTGCAGGCACAGAGAGAATATTTTCACCATTTGGTATTATTTACTCAAAGCTAAGAAATTGCCTGGGAGTTGAGAAAAAAGCAGGAAAACTTGTATTTCTGTTTCAGTCTATGAATAAAAATGACAGTGGGAGTGGGAAAGAGGAGATCTAGTTGTAGAAGTTTTAAGGACAGTGTATGTTTAGCGTTGTAATGACTTGTCTGTTAGAGTTAATAAAATTTGAAAATTGAGAAAAAGAGTTTAAGGACAGATGTTGTAAAATACTGTATTGAGTTGTAAATTAACATGTTTTGGTGATCAGATTTGCACCATCGTTTAAGAAATATGTGAAGAAGTATCAGTGGGAAACTTGATTTAAATCAATGATTTAAACCAGGGTTTCCTCTTGGTGATTTAAATCAATCCACCCTGCTGGTGCCCCTGCTCCCCCAACCATGGGAACTTTCAGGAACCTAACCCCTGTAGTTGGCAAGGGAAATCTGTACTTCAATAGTACACAAATAAGCTCATATTAGGCAACTACTTCTACCCCTGCTAACCATTATACTGCGGAACAAAAATCCTTTTCACATTTTCCAAACAAATTTTACTCAAAATTACTGAAAACAAGCATTTAGGGGGAAAAAAAGGCATTCATACAGGCAAAGTTGGATTTTATCGATGTGAGCACCACATAGAACACACGAGGGGCACAGACAATTTGAAGTCACTTTTTCGACCAAACTTTTTTTCTTTCTAAATCTCTCTCATAAGAGTAACAAATAAGATTTTTAAAAGTACAACTGTTCCCATGGGCAGGGCCATCCTTGAATGGGGGTGGGGGCAAATCAGGGTGACCGCTCTGTGTCCCATGCTTTGGGGGCCCTGCAGAGCCCAGTGGAGCAGCCGCTCCTCGTCCAGCTGCTCGCTACCCCTCCCCCTCCTGCCCCCACTGTCAATGCCAGCCGCAGCTTCTTTGGGTCCAGGATCGGAGCAGGGCCCCGCATGGGCTGATTTGCCCTGTGTCCTGCACCTGGCTCAGGTTGCCTCTGCCCACGAGCACAACCGCATAACACACTGTAAGGAAAAAGAAGCGTGTGCACTGCACAGTGAGACTCGTGAAGTATAGGTAGCAGTCACCCTGCTGCTTTCCAATTATGAGGTAACAGAGGCCCAGTTCTAAGCAGACACTCTCCTCCCACCAAGGTCTCTCCCTGCCTGGAGGATTGAGGCGCTCCCTTTTACCATCTACAGCCCCTGAAGTCACAGGTGGCCAAAGACAGGAAGAAGGGCTTTTTGCCCTTCTTTTTGCTCTTCATATCTTCCTCATCATGGTAGAAGGGCCGCAATTTGGTCACAAGCTTGTGACTTCTTTGGGGCAGGGTTCCCATTGTCTAACAATAGTGTAAACAAACTAATATGTGACACTGGAAAAACAGTAAATGGAACAAAACTTAAAAGCAGAGCCAACACTTGCCCTTAAAGGAAGAAGAGGGAGAGCAGCAAAAGGCAACAGTGAACAGGAATGCCAACTTTAATTTTAAATGTGTCTTCTTGGAATTTGAGCCACAATGATGTGGTGTATTATCATTATAAATATGTAAAATTCATGAAATATAAAATATATCTACTGTGCAAAATAATCCCACTTCCAGTCCTCACCTCTTTTTAATTCCATTTACTATAAGTATTTAAGACCCAGACATTTACTTGCATCAGACATTTCTTCCATTATCTGATGGAAGACAAATTCTGAAAACGTGACCATCTTAGCTACAGAATACACATTATTAAAATATTCTTTACATTACTCTTTCAAGGCCTCAGTTATCTTCCTTTGTAGAAAAAATATATCATGCAAGAGGTGTAAATTACACTCAAGAGTACAATATCAGAGTTTAACTAGAACTGTGAGCTTACATCTCAAAAATTTGAAATTAAACAACTTCTATTTAATACAGCAAATGTTACACTGTATGCTGTTTACATACTTCATTCACAGTTTATAGAATTAAATAAAAATCTTAGGGTCTGAAATATATGCATTTAAAAGAAACAGGTTCATTTTTCACAGCTATTTAACAAAGAAAGTTGAGCAGGCATTGTGCAGAAAACTGTCAGCAGCAAGTTTTTGGTTGAATAAATTTGAAGCTATACTATTTCACTCATGCTCTTCTATTTTTTAAATTAGAAAAGAAAAAGAAATTACTTGCATTTTTGGTATAGTGATCTGAAAACTCTCGTCCACTCCTTCTGGCCATTTTAAAAAATGAAAATCACAGTAAGTTGTGAATTTATATTTAATGACCTGGAACAAAATCTCTGAAGATGTAGATGTGGACTGAAAAGTGACTAAAAAGTACTACACACTTACTTATCTCTACTTTCAAAATACCAATTGCTCAAGATGGTTTTTCTAGCTGCCAATCCTGCAAATTCAGTCTAGGAGCTGAAAAAACCAAGCCAGCTCCTTTCTGGATCATGTATGACCCATGAAGAGTCTGCAAATAGAACTTAAAATGTGTTAGTACTGGACTGCATCAAAAAGGAATCAAATTCACTCCAGGAACTGTTGATTTTCAGCACTAACTGTACGTAGTAGAAGTAGTAAGAACATATATTAAGCTGACAACTTGGAATAAACACAGGAAACGGAGATAGTCATTGGCATTTAGTCACTTCCAGTTTGATAAGCACTCTTATGAAGAGATTCTGTTTTCAGAACAAGCTAATTCTGCTTGCTATTCTTACAGGCAGATTAACTATAATCCACATAAGTATTATGTTATTAAGGGAGTAGGCATACCTCTGGGTTGCCCTCTTTCCTACCCCGGGCCTTTTGATTAGTGTTTGCTTAGTATAGAAAATAACGGCAATATCTACAGTAGAGAAAGGCATAATGTTCGTCTAAGTTTATATCTTTCCTGTCCTCTGGTCAAAGAAGTAGCTTTAATGCTACATACCAGAATATCAGAGGGAAAGGGAATACTAAGGGGAGATATACAACTCAAAGACTCTTGGCAGCAGGAAAAACTGCAGGTGCTTAACACAAATAACAATCACTCAGATAACAACTGTGGACTTGGAGTAGTGTAGATGGTGAGGGTCATGAGCAAACATGCGAGTCTCTTGTGAGTCATGAAGCATTTTATCTTCCCTCCTGAGGACAAGTTTGTGAGCCTCCCTGAACATCTGGACCCAGTCCCATAATGGTATTTAGGTGCCTAATTCCTACTGAAATTTATGGGAGCGCTGTTGTAGATCCTGG